AAAACCTCACTAACATTGGTGAAATCTGCATGCCTTTGCATGCACTTGGAATGATGAAAAAAAGGAGCAACCTAATACTGAAATTCTTCATATTCTTGTTGAATGACAATAAAATTTAGGTTAATAGTAGGTTTTTTTCTGACTATGGCAATAGTACAGAGCTTTATAGTGAACCAAAAAATAGTTTAAGAGGTATGAGTGCTGACAGCTCCAGAAGTTTGCACAGAGGTAGAGATTACTTCTTCAATTACAGGAAGAACATTTGAGATCATTCAGTGCAATCCTGATTTCATCACAAATGCACAGCTTTTAAATTCTTAAGGTTGCTTTCAAGCAGAGCATGTTTGTAGAAGATGTATCACGAACACTGTTTATACAAGTTATTTAGAAGTTAGAATTTCTAGAATGAGGATCTGCAATAGATAGGTTGAATTGTCATAGACTCATGGGGCCAAATGGATTACTGGATCTCCTGTGTCTCTCATATGGCTAACTTGCACATATCTATAGAAGTATTGAACTCACTGACCTGTGCTTGACTAATACGTGACTAGCGTTGGGCTAAAATGTATCTTCCAAAAAGCCTGCATTTCTTGAATTGAAGATACCAAGCAGCGGAGAATCTACCACTTCATTGCTGGTGTACGCTAATTTAGTAATTCTTGTTGTTAATCCACATGTCTTGTTCGTGGTTTGAGTTGGTTTCAGCTCATTCAGTTTGAGGCAGTTTCAACTGCCTTCCATTGCTTCTTGTTGCTTCGTTGGTGCTAGTGAACAGTTTGGTACACTGTATTTCCTCTTTGTCATGGTTCTACACAGTAACTGTATTCTTTTTAAGTTAAACAGCCTGGGGTTTTTCTTTTATTACACAAGTTTTTCTCTATCCACTGAATAATATTTGTAATTTTTTTTCCTACACACTGTATGCACACTAGAGCTGTATTGTGCTATTCCATCACCGGAGTTGCCAGAATGGTTTGTTCAGAGTATCTCTCTTTTTATTTAACATCACAGAAGGTGCAGATTTTTTGGGGTCAGTGTACTGCTGCAAGATGTCCTGTTGTGACTCTAAACTCTTCAGGGTTTTTGTATTCTTCAGTGTAGTCCACTGTTTTGTAATCACGGACTGCGTTCTCTATTGCCAGGTATCTTGGCAGTTAAATTCCTTGAACTGTAGTTTACATGAACGATGCCAATGTACTAAACAAGTGAGGCTGCTGGTGGTAGCTTCCACATGGCCATAGTTTATCTCTTCCTCCTGCTTTTTTGTGTTCTCGGGAAGTTTTCACACTATGGAAGTTTTCATAGTAATGACTTAATTCCAGATCACCGATGAAGTAATTGAATACCATAAAATAGTCTCAGGCCTTGTAGAGCCTGACTTAAAACTGTCCCATTAGATGAAGACAGCCTGTTGATGTTTTTTAGAAACAGGTCAATAAGCAGGTTCTTAACCCATTTAGTGCATCCTCTCTCAACGTTGGGAGTGCTGTTGCAGAGTATTGTATAGTGTTAAAACAAATGCCCTACAACAATCCAAAAATATTATATGTTCAAAGTCATAAAATGATGTTGACTGGCGTTAGTTACCTTCCTATGTCTTAGTTCTTTATCAAGCAAATGCCTAGAATATGTGTGTTTCAGCTTTTTTATTATTTTACCGAGGACTGATTTTTTGTGAAGTGACTTGAAGTTACCCAGCCATCCTGCTTGCAAATTTTAATTGGCACAAAATTAACATTTTTGTAGTCTTTCAATATTTGCTAAAGCCGAACATCACAGCTCCTGGGATCTCTGCCACCTTTTTTTATGACTCCTGTGGAGAAAGTTGTCCAGGCTTGTTGATTAAATAATGGCTAACATTTCCTGTGGGTAATAAGGGACTTCATCATCCTTCTGCTTTTCAAGGTCAGTGTCATGATTCTTTCAAAACACACAACAGTGCTCATAAAAAACTTCCCATTTTTCTGAAACATTTTGTTACTCAGCTACTGTTATTTCATATTACACCTTTCTCGTTTCCATATTCTTTGCTTGATTTGAACCATTGTAGAAAATGTCATTATTCCCTTCTTCCCCCCGGTTTTCCTTTCGTGGATGTATGTGTGTATGAAAACAAGAATTTCCCTTTCACATAGGTGGATTTCCACTTTCCTCTAACTTCTGTTTTTCTTATCTTGAATTACTCTAGGTATTTAGTTTGTGTGGCAGGTATTTGCTGTACAGTCATCCATCCACCATAACCTTCTCTAAAGCTAATTATCCACTCATTCCAGCCTGGGAATTGAGGATGAAAATCAGCCAAAATTATCTCTGTAAATCAGTGCTGGTGTGAATTTTCCAATTATAAATTTCTAAAGTCATACTTCTACATGTAGCTGAAGTCAGAGGGCATGCTTCCTGAGTCAGTGAAGTCATACTAGTAAATTATATTGCAGCAATTGGTAGTTTTATGACGTGGAGTCTGTGGGTCTTGGAAAAATTATACAAATTAGTAATAAGCTGACAATATCAGATATAATTTCCTATTACCAGTGTAGTTAAGATGCAGCTAAAATAAATTGTTGTAACATGTATGTACATTGGATGAAAATATTTTTTCATAGTTTTGCATCAAAATTATCTAGCCAATAGCTCTATAAATACCATCCTTCAATAAATTCAATACACTATAATTCAGTAATTCTTTATGGATTTGTCTTTGTCTCATATGTTGGTGGGGAATAAATTGAAGGACAATTTTTTTAATTCATGTTAAAAAACTAATGTAATTTATGTAGTTGCCATTTTAAATATTCCTTATCTGAAACAAGTTCTCTGCTTTTGAGGACGGTTAAGATTTAAGGAGGAACCAGCCTTTAAAGTAACAAAGAGAAGTGATTTAAAAACTTAGCTTTCCAATGTCTGTTCATACTACCTATTGCAACCAAACTTTCATACCCACATGCTTCACTTCTTAAGTAGCCAGAAGTATAATGGCTGTTACTTTACTGTTTTCAAAGTCATAATTGAAATGGCCTTCTGAAGGGAGGCAGCATATTTTCAGTTCTCAGCATTGATGCTGAGTAGATGGCTGCAGTGGTCTCTTGCAGGTGATCAGAAAACAATGCAACGTAGATGTAGACAAGCTTTATATTCAGCATTACAAAGCTGAGCTGGAAGAATCAGGAGAAATATTTTCCAGAAGTACTTCTAGGCTACTTTAATGTCTTGCTGAGTCTCTAATAACCCAGGTCTGTTTTCAAAACTTAATTGTTTTATATTCATCTACCTGTATAGGTACAGGACGGGTAAAACTGTGCATATTATAAAGGAAATGCATTGGTAATGTGTTCATTCGTATTTTTTTATATTACCTATTTTAAGGAAAACAATATGCTTTCCATATGAAAATATGTAAGTGCTGGATGATCTGTATCCAGTTGTCACATTGCTATACATTTCTCTCCTGTAAGGAAGAAATTTGTTAATACCGTATCTTGCCCTATTGATTTTCACAGGTGCAATTCTTTTTCAAGCACTTAGTGTTGCTGATATTGCTGTGTAGCATCACCCAGAGAAGTAGAAACTACTTTAGCCAAAACCTCACTTATGACTGTTGTCGGTCAGCATCTTCCTGTGAATCAGCAGTGTGGGCTTAGGCTGAACGCAGCACCTCATTCAGCTTGTCCTTAGACATTTGCCCATTGTCATATTGGGAAACTCTCCCTTCTTTTGATACAACAAAGACTCAGAAATTTGCTGCAGTAGTGCATATGCCTTGCACAGGGTGGTGCAATATAATGTATTCTTCCTTTTAAGTTTTGCTCTCTGAATGGCAGATGGTGGAATATTTTATTTAATGCTCTGAGTCAGCTCACTGACACACTCCACTTTCAATTAATCCCTTTTTGTTCTATGATGTATAGCTGTAATTGATTATATTAATCTACCAAGACAGAAGGAGCAAAAGTTGAATAAATGCAGTGAGAATTTGAGGACTCTTATTGTCTCACTTCTGACTTACACATGGGAACTTACTGTTTACTGGGAATTATAAGGTGCGTGCTTTATCTTAATAATAACTACTTTTATCTCTTAAAATAAAAAAGGCAGTAGAAACTGGCAGACTGGCCCAATAGTCTTAAGTATATCAGTTTTTAAAAGCCAAAAACATTGTTACAGTACATCACAGACTGCTCAAGAAACCCAATAGCTCTATTTCTGTTGTTTTTTCTTCACAAAAGCCTCAAAATATACTTCCCTTCCATATGAAAAATTAAAACTGCTAGGCAATCTACATGAATACACAGTACTAATTTTAACTGCTTGAATGGTGTGTCCGTTGAAGGGAACTGCTAAATGCTGCTGAAATGAGAAGACCGTAACCCAATTATTTTTGAATGGCATGTGAATGCTGCAGGCTGGGATACCATTATTAAATGGCATTTGCCATTGAAAAAAAAAAAAAAAAAGAAATACCCCATGCCCAGGAGAGTCCCCAGCACTGGCCAATGGGAAATTACCATACATCATGTCACCAGCCCCTCGGATTTATGTCTTCTAGGGTGATATACTATTGGCTGCTGGTTAGGCTCTATGGGAGGGATTACTGGCACCGTTTGTGGCTTCCCCTTCAGGTCCTTATTTGGTAGCTGTTGATAGAGCAAGTCTTTCCAGCAGCTGAGCATCTTGACATACATTATTCATTAAGTCCTGGTGTTCAGTAAATATGCATATCCCTAGCTCTTCAGATCTATCTTCAGCTCATACAATATGTCTCTTCAACGTTGCCTCTGAGTGCTTGGAGCTTTACAAATGGCATTTATACAATCGGAAGACCACACTGTTGGATTTCATTTCAGTATGTCTCCTGTGCACACAGGTGCTGAGAACCTAAAGATCCGCGAAAAGAATTAGGAGAGAAAAGAAGGAATCTTTCTTCTTGGAAGTCTTTTGCAGTATCAGATAGCAAAGAACTGATTAGCTTAGATTGGTAGTATAGAAAAAAAAAATCAAAAATGCCTGAGGCAAACTATTTACTCTCAGTTTCTTGGGGCTACATAAAGGTAGGATTTTGTTTTATCTTTTAAAGAACCATGATTTGTGGTGCATGATTGCATGATCACTGGATAGCGTGAGTATTTGTGGGTGATGTGATTGAGTAGTATGAATATAAAGTAAAAAAAACAGAAAAGGAAGCCTTTGTTCAGCAGTGAGAATGAACTGCACTGTATACAGTCTTTCGTAGAAACTGTGCTGGGACTTGTAAAATAATGTTGCTTCAGTGGATGATCAGACCAAGTCTAAAGCCAAAGAAATTCAGAAGAGTTTTGTGTTCTTTTAGAAAAAGATTGCTACAAAACTATTTCTAGACATTAAAAAATTAAAATAAAACAAAAAACAAACTCAAAACTGAGATACCAGACAACAGGAGAGAGCATGAGTAAAGAGGCTGTGGGTGGTGGGTGAATGCGTGACTCATCCCGGTTTTAATAGCTGAAGAAACGTGAAATTATCAACAGTATGTACCAGCAGTATTTTTTAGTAGCCTCTGTGTGTGTGTGTGTGTGTGACAGCTTATTGATTAAAACACTGGAAATTGTCATCTTCTAATACTGATCTACATTACTATGTAGAGCAGCTTTGAACTAGCTTGAAACTGCGATACTGCTAGAAAATGGAATTAAATAGGCTTTTATCTGTTTTATGGAAAAGTTTTGCACCAAGGAATTAAATCAGTATGCCTGTGAACATACAGAACTGAAATTCACTCAATGTAAAACTATGTTTCGGCTTTGTTTTAGCCCTACTTACATGCTTCTGCTTAAAAATAATGTTGCCTTTATAATTGTTATCAAGTGTATAAAAAATAAGAAACATCATCCTATGCTTGACATAAAATAACTGTTCCAAATCATCCTGTTTTAAAGACAATTCTGATTTCTCCTGAACTAAGTAATGGAAGTGTTCAATTAAATTACTAAAAATAATACAAGCATTATATTCACACATTACTGAATTCTTGTGCTTGCTTTATTAATACCCACTTTTATCACAGATTATTTTTTTAAAATAGAAATGTAAAACCCTCATTAGGTCATTGTGTCCGATTAGGTCATTGTGACCATTCTCTGCTAATGCAGAATTGTTATAGTATATTCTCAAGGATTTTGATCAGTCATCTGTGAAGAAATTGGATCCCATTGTGCTAGCTACATGGATTCCTTTCTCGTTTACCAAAAAATAAGATGAAATTACTTTCCATTTAGCTAAAAGTGAGGTATTTATTGTAATTTACTAGGAAATATGTCCTACATTTCCAGGCAGCTGCTGTCATGTTCCTACTTGGCTAAATTAGAAAAATTCAATCAGTGATCTTCAAAAAAATGTTCACTCTTACTGTTTAGCCTTCAAAATTGATAGATTTTTTTGTTAATTGAAGTTCAGCAGAGAGCATTGTAGCTGTAATTGATTGCACATGGGAAAAAATGTCCTCTGTATCGACAGTGTCCTGTACTGTCTATAGACAATGATTTTAGTTAAGAAGCTAAATAGTACTTGGAAAAAATCTTAGTATAGTGCTTTTTGAGTTCACAGTATACACATTGTAGGAAAAATGTGAAGAGAGGCAAAGATCTGCTTTTTATGACATTCAAACCAATGGTTTAGAGTATATATGAAATTCTAAGGAACAATGAAACGTTAGTCTCAGATCATTATGTTTACATCCTTTACTATACATACACTTCTGTAATTTCTGTATACTTCAGGCTATACTTTATTATCTTCTGTAAGTTATATTTTGGAGAATCGTTGTCATGTGGAGTATTTACCATTGGCTTTCATTGAGTATCTTTCCTTGAAACAATGAGCACCACTATTGCAATGCTAGGCTTAGAGATATGCGCCTCACTATAAATTATGTATAAAACCCAGTGCATGACCTTGATATTAATTAAACACATGAGCTTCCAACCCAAATCTTTAGTTATTAAGAATGCTGTTTATGTATTAAGAATGCTGATAAATTCAAAGATAGTTTTGCATTGATAAATAATATAATCAGAAGCCTTACATTAATTTGTAAGGCTGCCCTATTTTAAGTTTCTTGTCTTGTTTTTGTAGAATACAAGACTTTTGAACTCCAGTAAACTAATATAGCTTCTTATTTTTTTAGTTGCATATGTCTTTTAAAAATCACATTAATAGATGTTTCAGAAACAAATATAGTCATGTAAGTTTAATATTTCAAGTATTGAATGAACGTTCCATGGATGTATTCTATTCATGTAAGCTTTTGGAAGTGTTACCTAGAAAAGAAGGCAGCCAGAAAGGTTGAAACTGGGATCTGTTGCCATGTGGGTTTGGGAGCCACTGCAATGAAAGGCTCCAGGTGCTCTTGAGTATTTTGGTTCCAGCCTTCGCTGGGCTTGGAGCTTGATTAACACTCGAAGGATAGGGAGGATGGGGCCTTTTGGTCCATGGACTACCTTCTAGCCCTAGCTTCACCTTCTGTGCTGATGCCAAAGGTTGTAACGGAGGCAGCCTCTTTACAGTCCTTGATATGCAGCAGATCACCTGTTAAGGAACAGAAAGCCTGGGTGGAAGAGGTCCTGCCAGGACAGGCATTGGCACCAAGGATGGTTCTGCATGCTTCCTCTCCCAACACAACTAACTGCATGCTGTATATTTACTTATGCTTTTTGTTACCGAGTCAAAAACTCTACACAAAAAATGTAAAATGCTCTAAAGTGTAATCAATAAACCCCATATACATTAAGCATGCAGCCCAGACTTTTTCATGGCCATGAGTTGACTCTAGTTGGATCTTCACTATGTCTTTGGAGTTGAACTTGAAATTTCTTTCTAGTGTAGATGCAAATTTTCATAAAATTGGATCAGTGTTTTGGTTGCCATCTTCTTTGGAGTTGAATTTTCTTTCTAGTGTAGATGTAAAATCTTCATAAAATTGGATCAGTGCTTTGGTTGCCATCTGGGAACACGGTTACTGCAAAAGTTTGTCTAAATTTTTCTATGTACCTTTGCTGACATCAGAAAAATACCGTATTTTTTCCAAAAACCCCATATGTATATTTATCCTAGGTTGACAGCAGTAATACATATGCAGAGATATGTACACATTGGGCTTCAGCCCAGAAGGATCTAAACTACCAAACTCAATCCCTCATTTGTAACCTCTTCTTTGGAGGACACCACTGTTTAAGAAACAGTTCTGGTCTTGTCAACATATGCACTTGTATTCTCATGTATTACAGTTCTCCCTCTATCGCACTTCCTAGGTTTTTAAAGGGAGGTAAAAATGCACATGCACTTTTGTCACTTTGAGAGGTTTGTAATGTTATTTGAATGTTGTGCCTGTGTTTGTGTTGCATGCCCCACCCCGCCCACCCGAGTAAAATAATTACAGTCAATAGAAACAAATGAAAAAAAATCTGCTTAAGTACATGTTTTTTAGGATTTTTTTCAGACAATATTTCTACTACTCTGTTGTGACATCTTTATTCATCAGTGAAGAACTGTATAATTGGCTTAATGGATTCCAAGAGGGATTTCCTGGACTATGGTCAAGAGCTGTGATTTTCCAAAGGGATATATGTGTCACTTTTCCAATCTAACAATGCCTAGTCTTAACGTGGGAAAACCTTTCTTTCTGAGGAAGAGTACAATATGCATAGATCAGCCAAAAACCTCTGCTGCCTCCCCATGCTGAGCTGACAATATCATAATTAAAGTGTATGGTGTGTTTATTAGTGACAAGAGGCATTATGATTGATTTTCTTCAGCTGGGAAAGTATATAGCATTCAGATTAAAAAAATTCTTATTTAAAATATTATCTTTAACATTTACTATTAGCGACAACATGGTTTTATGTCTTGTTTGACTTGTTTTGAATAAAGTGCTAAATGTTATTTCTGAGAGGACAAATGATGAGGGAGTATGGACAGTCTAGCCAAGTTTCAAGCACTTAAGAGCTGCCTGCTGGATGACTGAAACACTGTTGACCCACAGATGTAACAGAAATTTCTCTGATTTGCAGGAAGACCTTGTGAGAGCCACGTGAGAGTTGGCAGAGTATCATTATAAAGTAATTGTGCAGGGATGTATACATATGCAGAAAGTTGACACTCTTTGAAGCAGCAGCTATGTATGGGTGCACTTAGGCCCAAATGAAATCTTTGAGAAATGGATAAAATCAGGGAAAAGTAGGGGTTTTGGTTTGGGGTTTTTTCCTTGGAAAAAAAGATATTTTTTTCCCCCAAAGGACAAGTTAGTAAACATCAGAGGATTAAGTAACATACAGATATACTGAAACAGGTTATAATCAACAAAAATATCTGAACATTTCGATCGGTGTTCATCTCTCTTGGGTTTTTTTGTGTTCTCAAAGAGCATTATTGTTCTGCATCAGAAACTGCTGTCTGCATATGGTCTTCAACTGTTTCAATGTGAATGACGGTTGTAAGGCTTTGTCATATAATTAGGAAATCAAGACAGTTCTCTAGACTCCTGCTTAGTCCAGATGTTTTCAAAACAAATGTAAATTAAAGTCTTGTTGCTGTGGCGTCAGCAACATGTGAAAGACTATGAGGAAATCATGCTGCTACAGTTCTTCAAAGCAAAAGACTTCTGCCATTGAATTCATTGTTAGCGGGACGGCCTTGCAGAAGCTGGGGGATTTGTTTTACTGTACACTCATATTCAGCAGCAACACAGACTGTTCTGCAGGTTTCATGCTGGTGGTTGAGCTTTTAAGTTCTGGTGATTTATGGGGTGATGGGAGGTGGTGAGACAGGGCTTTGCATAGGGCTAGTGGGGAACATAGCATTAGAAAAGATTGCCATGCACCTTCCATTTGTTATGGACATCCATACAGTAAATATTTAGTTGGAAATTCTTAAAGAGCATATACTCCCTAAGTTCCATGAGGTAATTCCCAGTATGTGGTAACAACCCTTCTCCCTGCCTACTTCCCGCACTTAAATTTATGATTTGGAGGGGGGAGGAAAAAAAAGTCCTTCCTATTTGTTGTGTCAGGTAGCTGCAGAAGAAGCATGGTGCAAACAAACACCAATTCGTTCTCCTTTCAAAGCTGGGGAATTTTTAAGGAGAGTTCCTGAAGAGTACAGACCAGCAGTAGCTAGATGGTCTTTTTCCAAAGTGCTGAACGTGACCCAGTAGTGTTGCTCTGCAGCAGAAATAGCATCACAAAGTTGAGCATCACCTGAAACGGTTTGCTAGGAAACAACCAGACAGGCAAGAAGGACCTGTTTAGTTGGGATCTGGTAAACTAGCTGTATTAAATTAAGGAAGACAGCATATTGGGGCGGTAATGGATATACTGATGACATGCCTGGAAGTTAATGCAATTTTGTCAACTTCTGATGTTTTATTAAGATTCCTATACACAATACTTAATTTAAAGCCGAAGTTTCTGGATACCGTCTGGAGACAAGCCATTCCATGAGATGTTCAGGTTTTGCCTTGAATAATTCAGTTTCTCACCTATGTGGGTACAGAAGAAAAAGCATGCAAGTGTGACTTAAATATATGATAAAAGTTTAAAGACACGCTTTAAAAAATACTCCTAGGATTTTTGGACCAGTCACTTTACTGCTTGGCAAGCTTGACTTGTTTTTTTTAAATTCGACATTATGACAAACATCAGACCTCAGTATAGAGGTTGATACTGGTTTCGTGCAGAAGGTATAGCCCTGTAGTTCATAGTATTTGTAGCTGTATTTGCAGTATGGTTCTAATTATCAGAACTGTGTTGAGCACTTGATAGCACTCTACTATATCTGAGATCAAAGCTGAGTCTTTGGCTTGTGACTAAAGTAGGAATTCAGTTTTTGTAGCTCAGGAACTTCCTGAGCCCATGGCATGTCAACATGGCAGGAGAATGCAGTGGCTAATGGTTCGAGTGTTGTATTAAAGGTAACTTTTATTTGGCACACTGTGAGCAATATGGTAATTGGTGACGTACAAAGACATTGTGAAGAAAGTAACACCTTTCACTATGCAAGGCCTCTTTGAAGAAAGAGCTTTGATTCCAGTGGGATGGAAAGGAGGTGGTTAATGTTTAGTCTAGTCCTTTACCTCCTGTGGAAGAATAAATGACCAGTTTTCAACCTAGAGGTATGTTTACAGGGATATATACTAAGGATGGCTATTGCTTGATGTAATAAATAGTCATAACTGGGTGAACAATGTGAAAGATGATTCTGAAAATGGCAGAGATCATTTGGCTTTGTTAAGAGAAAAGATGACTGAGAAATCTAACAACTAAATGAAAGGATGGCACAATGGGAGGCAAAATTCAGTAGTGATGGATGCTAATTTACATTAGCAAGAGTTGTTCGAATTGTTAATAAATATTGCTGAGTTCTATTTGTTATTAATATCAAGGCAGAGGTATAGTCAGTGAAAATGCATGTAACATAGCCAGAGCAATTAACCTGTTGAATGTAATGCCACAAGGTATCATTTAACCCTGGGGTCTAGAAGGAATCAGGAATGGCTCAGTGATGACTACCTAATCAATTATACATTTCATGGAATGTTAATATCCCTTGCTATCCTACAGGGTGCCTAGAGTGAATTGCTAACTTAGCGGGAAAAGGAAAGTGTTTTCACAGATGGGTATTTTCTACTCTGATGTTTCATACAGATACTGACAATTTTGTGAGACTGTGGAATGGTCAAGTCATTGGGCTGATCCAGTATAATAATTTTAAGTCAGACACAACAAAAGCTACAACTACTCGTATTGGTGTATGGCAAATCAGTAAGATATTTTGATTGTTTTGAACAGTACTGTCAGATATATTTGAGTAGATTAATGATGGGAGGTTATGTAAACTTGAAATACTACAAGACGAATTGCAAAAATGCACAAATAGATTCATTTACAAATATAAGAAAACCCTAGCAGAGAAGGGGTTCAATGTAAATACATTTGTATTTTCTCTCCAAATTAAAATAATGAAAATATATTGATACTAATTACTTGTGTGTATACATATGTCTTACAGTTTTCACTTACTAGTAGAACCCTGTGCCTTAGTAATTGAATCACAATGGAGTATTTAGGAGGTTAAGAGTTGCGTTGTCCAACCCACGAATAAGTTAGTAGGGTAGAGTGATGTTGGATGTGATTTTTGCTTTCATAGTTGTCTTAGTTTAGTATATATTCTTAATGTCATGTCGTTTCCCCAATCATAAATTGACTGCATTTTCTTATCCTAACTAAAATACATCTTGATTGCTAACTATATGCTTATTTGATTTGTTTTGTTTTCCAGTTTAAAAGAATGCTCAACCGGGAGCTAACTCACCTATCTGAAATGAGCAGGTCAGGCAATCAGGTCTCAGAATATATATCGAACACATTCTTAGGTAAGACTATGACAGGAGTTGGTTTTTTTGCCTTGTGGGTTTTTTTCTCTCTCTCTAGGCTGTGATAGAACTTAAAAGCAAGTAGCTTTCTGTGTTAATTTCTGTTTTCAGAAACTGTACATGTAGTATCTCATTGTTCAGTGTTTGAGCAGAGAGATCACCTTAGATGCATTTCCTCACAGCTCAACTAGTTTGTGTATGTGGTTACCTTGTGTGTGTAATTATAGATAAATATTCATATACATATTTTCATGTAACATTACAACTCCTATATTGCTACCATACTAAGAAATTAATATATAATGAATTAATTATACATTAAAAAGAATTCTTCCACTCTGTTTCCCTTACGAAAGTTACTGCAAAGAGGTTTCAGTGTACTGGAAGCACAGAAGCACAAGTAACCTCATAAAATCTCGCATCACACAGTTCTGATGCTTTTGTATTCCCTGCTTGCACATGAGTGGTTGCATGAATATGACTAAGTCAACATCTGAACAGACTGCTGCCAGCAGAGTTTGTGCAGCTCAGGAGCTTGGCATGGTGGGATGTGAACATTAAAAAAAGCCCAACAGAATATTACA